AGTAAAATAGAGTTAACAGAAAACTGTCAGAATGAGCATATAGGTGCACAGAAATACCACCTTTCGTTCCACCAAACAAGAACAAAATGCTACCTTGTATGCATATTTCTTGTGTATTTTCTTCTGATCTTTAAATCTTTCAATTAGATCCTCTACAAATTCCTTAGTGATTCCCTCAGGACTCAATCTTGGACCATCGTAGTCATCTTCAACCACTAAAGTCAACAAAAACAATTTTGAAAAATATATCCATTAAGTTTGCTTAAGTTTAAAAATGAGCTATGTACAAGGCAAAAAAATTGTTAGGAGGTAAAAACCAAATGTTTGCGATGCTACATCGTCATCAGGGAAATTCTATTTTTGCCTTGTAAATAGCTCATTAATAATATTTACAATAGATAAAAACTAATTTTAGCTTGCCAAACCACTATTGCCGAGCTAAGATCATAAATACATGGCATCAATTTTTAAAAAAAATCCATAAAAATTTTTCACTGCTATTTTTGGACTCATGCAACAACTTTGCCAAAGGACTGCTCATAGTCTGTGGAAAGGCAAATGAAATAGACAATTTTGTGGAAGAGGTGGAAATCTGTAAGCTCCGTATCTGTCTGTATGGCTGTTTCTTGAGCAAAATACAGTCATCAGAGAGCTGTATTCATTTAGGGAGTTTAGTGATGAACACATCAATAACAGCTTTGTGTCATGTATCAAAACTCCCAGACTCAGCAGGGGTATTACTGAAAAAGCTGTCATAAAATTATGGCAGACTTCATTATCATTTTCCTGGATTGGGCCAAATTAAAGCAAACCTTTGATTTTTTGTTCCTAGATTCACTTACCCATTGAATCTAAATCTAAAGAATCAGCCACAGATTTGCTGTCATCCACTGCAATAGCTTTCTCAAAAGCTTGTCTTTGTACAATCTTCTTGCATTCTGTGAACTTCAGATTGGCATCTTTATCTTTTGGTCTAAATTTCTTCACCTTTGAAGAGGCAAAAAACTGTTTTTCAACCACACAGAAAATATATTTGAACACTGTTCTTTCTTAACCATTTTATCACAGAGATTTAAATTTCAACTTCATGTTTGCACTGTACTAGGTGACGCAACTGATATTTTACATCTGACCAGTCTTATTTGCATGACACCACTTGAGCAGACATAATCGTCTCTTGTCTGGACAAATGATGCCAATTTTCAACTGATTGTTAAAAGTAATCTAGGAATTCATTGGTTTTCTTCCTTGCTCTTTGTGAAAATTTGCAGCTGCTTTTCACTAAACACATGTAAAACTGACCTAATCATGACTTGGTTTAAGTCAAGTTTTCCCCTGATCTGTTAACCTTTTACCTTCAACCTCTAAGTAAGACAAGAACCTAATTTCTTCTTGCAATATCACCCCTGAATTGAGCATTAAGAACATCTTGATTGTTAAACAAATTCTCCTTGTCAGCATCACAACATAGAGAATGTGGATTCTGATGATAAGGTGTAAAAGATTAACTTCCAAAATCCAATGAGTGATATTCTCCCAACAGACTGCCATACATATGCTTGTAAATTAGATAGGAGACTTAAGTGCTTCGAGGATAACAAGTCTCACTAACAAGCATTCATATTCTCATAACCTGTCTGCAGATAACATATAGGAATTTCAAGGAGAATTAACGTGTATATCACTTCTGAGAGCCATAGGGTTACTCAAGATATCTACCTACCATTTCATAATCCTTGAGGCTTAGTTTGAATTTTCCAAGGGCCATATATGCAGATGCTCTTCTGTAATATGCCTAAAATTCAGAAGAAAAAAAAAGCAATTGTACATTATCTCTATTAACATTTGCCATTACATTTTGATTCAATAGAGAATGAAAGAAGGCAAATATTAATAGAATTTGGTCACCAAATAAATATAAATGTTTAATTCATTTTTCTTGAGCCCTAACTTGAATAAGCAGGTGCTGTGTTTTGTTAAAGTGCCCTTAGTGACAAATAGAATTACAAAAACAGTTGATAACATAAAAGATTCTTTCCCTGCCAGTCTTCTCTCGAGTCATATGTATGAATTTATAGGCAGTGGAATTTAGAATTTTCCCTTCTAAAATTGAAGGTTTTCAGGGGAGCAAAATCTTATAATTTCTGAAATTTTTTTGAGCTTACATCCCTTTCCATCCCTTTGGAAAAAGTAACATTTGAGGATATCATTTTGTATGTCATACATATTTTATTAAGAATGAGATTTGGCCATGATTGGTAGGCATAATCTGGTGAAAGATCAACAACTTTGATCTGTAAGGCAATTAAAGATTATACCCAAGGAGTAAAAGCTTCTCGGTAAAACACCTGTTGTGATATTGTCGTTATGGCAATAACACGATACCTTTATGTACTTTTTGTCCAGTTCAATCGCTTTATTAGCATCATCAAGAGCACAGCCATAGTATTCTGTCTTAATATAGCAGAAGCTTCTATTTCCATAATAAGCTGGTACTTTAGGATTCAACTCTATAGCTTTGGAGTAAAGATCAAGAGCCTCATCATACTTCCCCTCTAGAATAAAATGGAGGAAAAAATGTAAATATTGATGAATACATACATTGGACAAACATGAACATTAGCCTTCATTTCAGGCAAAAAACATGGATGGATATTTGTACACAGACAATATCTGTTTCAAAAAGCAATTTATTTTGGATGGCAGAGAAGATATATGTGCTTCTGGCTAAATAACGACTACTGGGTGCATAAACTTTTAAATACTTTGGAAGCATGTATAATTAAACTTTCACACATAGCTTTCTATCCAAAATGGATTTTGACTTTTCTGAGCCACTTCAACTCTATTCAACTTGTAAAAGAAGAAAACTTTATTTACAACAGACCCAAGTTTGAAAATCAGGGAAATCACTTGAGGAATATAACTTGATATTTCCAAGTTTTATCAAGGGAAGTTCCAGCCAAGTGATACATTTAACCCTATGAGTGACCAAGACAGAATTTCTCCTTACCATTTCAATACAATATCAAACTGACAAGTAATAATAAAAACAAAAAATATCAACAAGGCTTAGGATACAAGATTATAGGTTGATACAAGACCAAATTCCCCAAACTGAAATCAGAAGAATTGTATTGCAGACAGTAAGGAGAATTACTGATGAGATCTCAATTGAAAGGGTTACTAGATAAATGGCTTGTGAGATAAAACATTACCACTTACCCTATCAAGTTTCATGATACTGAGCTAAGAGTTTATGAACTTGTTCTTGCAACACAATATAAGATATAATTTTCCAGACCTAAATTTCTGAAAATCTTGACAACCATGGCCAATCATTGAGTTTACATATTATGCTGTCAAAGGATTGCTGAGTTACTTAGCATATCCCTGGAACGAAAGCCAATTGTTTTATTTTTACAAAAATTCAAGTTCGATCTCACTCGAAGTCAAAATTAAATTTTGAGGTTTCCTTCAATTTCATTCTTAATTAGCTCATAAAAATAATTTTTATACAATTATCACGAATCCTTTTTGCAAAGTTGAAACAGAATCCGAGTGCCCGTTCCAATGTACAAATGTTTGCGAAAATGTATTCCTAAAAAGATCAAGTTTTCCTTCGTTTTATCAATCAAACAGAGAGTTGCATTTACAGATGTGAAATTGATCGATGATCGGTGAGATAAACGAACACTACACTAGATCAATAAAATTGCGATGAATAATCTGAATGTTGCATAAGTTTAACACTAACTTTTTAATCTTAGGGAGTAAAACAGTGGGCATGATTAAGACAAAACAGATGCATGTTTCCTTTTACTTTTCCAAATAAAAATACCGGCCGGTTGCATAAACATATTTCGGTATCATGCATGCTTTCCAAAAATTTTTTTGCTGAGTCCAGTTCGAGACACCCGTTTCCTGTCAATCGTTCAGTTTTTAAGTAAAAAAAAATCGCCTCCTCACTGATCAAGACCTACCTTTGAAATATTTATTTGCCTCTAATTTGTACTCTTCGGCCTTCATCTCCTCCTCTGCCAATTCTCCGTTTACCTTCTCGTCCGCCATTTTTGCTCTCCTTGTCAGTTCCAGGCTTTCTCCTACAACCAACAAGCACTTTGACAGGCCAGTGATTTAGGGGGAGGGGAGGGTGTGGAATGAGTTGGGGATATGAACTAAATGTAAAAGATTGTTTCAAGGCTAAGAGCTGGCAAATTGAAGGCAATAAAAACAAAATATTTTTATAAAGGGAGTATTAATTTAGGGAAGAAGTGATTGTTAGAGAGGGTCTGGAAACAATGGCCAAGAGTAGGACAATTGTGAACTTGCGGGAGTCAGGGAGCAGGGGCAGAAACCATGGGGAATCAGTATAACGCAGATAAGCTTTACTGATGGGTGAAGGCACAGAGAAAGGGAGAGCAACATTAGAAGATGTGCCTGGAGGATACTGGAAGGTTTAGTTCAAATTGTAGTTTGAAATGCTGATGAGGTAGTCTCCTTTGAAATGTCACACAACATCAGCCAGGGAAGAGCCTTCTAAGAGAAGTAGTGTTGCGTGATATCCTAGAAAATTGCTGCAAAGCATACTAAGGATTTTCAATGCATCAATGATGGTTTGCTGAAAAAAAAAAGTGACCAATGCTGAGATGTTCACAACTGTCATCAAGATGTCATGTTTGTAACAAGCTCTCTTTCTGATAATACCTTTCCATCTTAGAGCATCAATTATTCATATTTCAAACTGCCTTTCAAAGAAAATTCCAATCAAAAATAAATCTGTCAACTTTGTGCAGAGGCTGAGAAGGTAAAATTGGATTTACTCAGAGTTAAAAATTCCAGTAAAAACAGCAGAGTACCCATGATTTTTAAACAAGAAACTAAACATGTTTTTTTGTATTCCAGTGGTTTCGTAAAAAAAAAAAAAAAGATTTCAGTGATCATAGATCCCAACCCAAAATAAAGACAAAAACAAGAATAAAGTAAACACAACTGTACAATTATATTAAAACAGACACTATATTTTGTAATTTCCTTCACTTGCTACATATACAGACTGTTATTGGACAAGATAGTTAAATTCAATTTAACCCTTTCACTCCCAATATCTAACTGACAATTCTCCACACTGTCTGTTATACATTACTCATACTTGTAGCTCTGAGAATTTGGTGGTAAATCAAACAATATCTTTTGTTTATACTTTTCTAAATTCTCTTAACTAGGCTGCATGATATCATATTGATATTGTCAGGAGAAGTTACTCCTTGATCAATTCTGGAAGTGAAAGGGTTAATGAAAATATATCAGTGACCAGATTATTTCTTAAGGACAATTCCCATACAGCACCTAATCAAATTTCTGAGCAATTGAAAACCATATTAAAAATGTGCAGGAATAATTTACAAATTTACAAGGAAAAAGCATAAATTAGAGGCAGAACCAACCCATAACATCAGAACAAAACTTAGATCCCGCAGAATTCATTACATCATTCTTTAGTCACCTTATTTTTTTTTAGAAGGAACATGTGAATGTAGCTGTCAAAGCTGCATATCAGCTGACTCAGATCAATACCTGACCAAAAGTTCAATTCTCTTTACTGTTTGTGAGGAACTGATCTCAAAACCAGTCTTGAGAATTAAGTGTTTGATCAAGTATTATCTCCCCACAAGCTATGGAAGTATTTAAGGTTAACTCACTACAGATCTTAACTCGAAATTTGAAAGTTTAGAAAAGAAAGTCTCAAGGTTGAGTGATTGCGTCGATGGCCTGACTAAAAAAATTGTTTTTTGTGATGGACACATTGAGTATACACAAAAGCTGGCTTACACCTTCAAGCATCTGATTTAACAGTCTCAATCATTGATTAAAGAAACAGCCCTCCTAACATCTTGACACAGATTTCCTGAACATCATTTATGAGAATTGATATTACATTGCATAATATGCAAAGGTTGCTGACACCTGATACACCAGGTAACTTTGGGCTGCCCTTCATGAACCTAGCATGGGACAAATATACCCACATTTTCTGCACTTGCAATTGTTTGTCTTCAGTTCATGCCCAGCTCTTACTGGGATGGCTACCTACAATATTTCCTTTGTTCTGACAAGGTGTTATTATTGGTGAATCTTGGTTTTCACAACATTAGAGGAGAGGAGTGTGTGATCTAACTAGAAGTCAGCATCATCACATTAAAGTGATATCAATTGATAAGGTCCACACATTTCTCTCTCAACAGTTTGGCAAGATCCCTAAATTACAAATTTTCCAGATGCTTAGGCAGTTTACATACTGTACAATAAGAAAGAAATTTAAAAATCTACCTGTGTTAGACTAGCTACTTTGCAGCCGGTTTGATTAACCCTTTAACTCCCAAGATCTGATTATTAATTCTCCCTTCTAGCTATTACACATTTCCTTGTAAATCAGTTACGAGAATTTAGTGTTAGATCAAGATAACAACTTCTACCTACTATGTTGGTGTTTTCTCAATACCCGTTTGCAGGATAATGTCTGGATATTCTAGGGAGAAGTTCCATGTTAATCACTTCTGAGAGTTAAAGGGTTAGGAGAAAACCTTCCAGCACCTACAAACTCTGAAGAAAATTTCCGAAACTAAATGTCACGCTTCCTCCTCTTCACTCTGTTACTGTATTCATCATCTGAAGTAATCTCTGCATTGTTGTTTTCCACTTTGATTGACAAAGGGGAGCTTGGGTCTTGTTTCAGTTGTCCATCAAGGAGCCCATCTCCTGATGGTGAAGTACTGAGGATATTATCTGTGGACGACAGCAGAGCAGTTGTTGCATCGATACTAAGTTGTCCTGAATTGCGAGCTTTTTCCAGAGCTCGAACTGTAAAAGAAAGAAACACAATAACTAATTGATTTTATTTCAGCAATGGTATATTGGAAAGTTGATCCTCTACCCAATCTTCACGTTAAGAAGAAAGTAGGAGAACTTGTGAAAAACATTTATCAAAAAGAAAACGGAATAAACAAACTTTCATCATTCACACATGACTTGCCTTGTTGGTCAAGTATGCCATTTTGTCGTTTGAGGTCATCAATGTCAGTCTGATAAAGAAAATAAACTGTTAATAAAAACTGTGAAAGATATTTTAAGAAGGGATGAGGATGCCTTCAAAAACCTGCCTCATCTTAGGTGAAAAAATATTTTTAGTGTTCAACGCTTTTGAAATGTGACAGTCATGCAGCTTGTTAGGAAACAAACCCTGAAAGATTCAGTTTCAAAATCTTAATTCATTTTGCATCCTGTGCCAAGTTTAACACCACCCACTCTTTCCATTCTTATCCTTCTAGAAGTTTTCATATTTGTCTACCTCATCCACATATTATTTTCTGCCTGAAGGCAATTTTCTTAAGTTTAACATGATCACCCTTAAGTCTGTTTATTCTTAGTGATGCACTGATAACTTAACAAAGGAAGCCATTCTCAAGCTCACAAAATCTCAACACCTGAGACACATTGAGAATGTTTCACATTTCGTTGATTATCACCTGAGAGATCATGACAAGTAAACAAACCTCAAAACCACAAAATGATGAACTTCAACCACTAATGCTCACAGTTTGTTTTCTCACGACAATAGTCTTGTTTTTGTAGACAAAACAAAATTCTAGAGATGTTTGCTGTGTTCATGATTTCCTGAGTTTCTCAGTAAAAGATCAAATTCCTAACATCAATTCATAGTCCAAGAGATACAAGATTTCCCCAAACTGCAATATATGACTACACTCACTTGATGTGTATGATTTTTTCTTCTCATGAATTGTATGTAATCTGTAGCCTTGTTTAAAATCTGTGCTCTTGATGCCTATTGTAAAACATTTATCAATATTATCTTCATAATATTTTGATCACTACTATTTATTATTATTAATATTATAAATGTAATTTATTCTTATCATCACTGCATTTGAAAGTGGTTTGATAATAAAGGGATAAATTCTTTTCTGGTTGTTTTTGAGCAAAATGGTCAATCTCATGATTTTAGACAACAAATACAGCAACTTGACAAGGCAAGAGAAATGATCTCATGCAAAAATAACTGAAATGTGTCTGCCTCAAAGACTGGTGGCAATTTGACAGATGTTAGGAGAGACTTTCTCATATGCTAAATCAACAGAATCAGTAAAAATCCCGCCAATATCACATTTATCAGTCAATCACAAAATTATCACTTAGACATGTTCAATCAAGTGTGTATCTTCCTGTTCGGGCAAGCCGTCACAACACAATCTAATTAGTGGACTTGCATATTTATTCCTCTGAGTGAAGTGAAAATCATCAACATTGAAAGTGATGAACAGGCAAAAAATATTATTTTCAGTTTCACTTTGGATGCACACTTCACCAAACTTTATAATCTTCTACCTGAGGTCAAAATCTTAAACAATAAATAATTTCGTATCCGCATGAACCGGGATAAAATTAATATTATGAAATTTTTACTTGTAAGGTCGCTAAACGATGGTCACTTTGATGTTCGATTCGGACAGAATACAGATGAGGGTTACCAGAGAAAATCTAGCGCTTCTAACACTGATTCATTACGCAGAGTATGCTAGTTTCTAGCGGAGCAGTTTAAAACTAATTAAATTTGCAGATGGAAAGGAAAGCATTTCGCAATCTTGCCTTCTCTCCCTGAAGGGACGGTATCGAATCTCGTAGATGGGCGAAACTATCTTTTATGTGATCTCGTCTCTTTCTTTCTAGGGCATTGTGGTGAGCCCTCTTATCGGCCTACAAAAATAAAGTGGAACATAGTTTAGTTACAATATCACAAGAGACCTGCAGACAAAACCTATTTAGAGAATTCATTGCGACGCGCATTCTCGACTCTCATAAAATATTCAATCGTAAATCAACATGGCAAAGTTCCATGATAGCGTGACGCCAACACAAATGGTAAAACCGTGATTCTAAAAGATTTCAACGATATTTCAACCGATATTAGTCTATTCTGAAAGCCAGTCTTACCGATTAACCAAGGAAAAACTCTAAGAAAAAATAAAGCGGTCAAAACAAAAACACGTGGTTTTCCATGTGGATAATTTTGCACGCGTAATTTGACACCAAAACACAAAACTTACCTGGGTCATGAATTGAGTTTCTTCGACATTTTCGGTTCCCTCCTGAACAGAATCAAACAAATTCGAACAAAATCGTTTTTTTCGTGACTTCCTAAGCAATCACAGAGAGAAAAATTAATTTACCTCGTCGCTTTCGATGTCGATTTCCTTCTCTTCGTCGCTCATGCCTCCTTCGTCTCCCTTCGCCATCAGTTGTCCCTCGTGATTAAAGCACGTGTCAGAACATGACGCCGATTTCACTGGGTAACGACAGCCAATCACGATGCAGATTCAGCAAGCGGTCAGTTATTGACAGGCCGGAGCCCGTTGATGGGTTTTCCAGAGTCTTTTTGTGCCGAAAAAATTCAGTACACAAAATTGTAAAAAAGATAAAACGAAATTCAAATGAAATGAATATAAAAACGAAAGCTACGATCTTATATTAGAGAGCCTATCTGGAAGCATATCCGAAATTTTATAACCTGAAACTGCACATCGCTGCATTCAGCAAAACACAAACAAAAAAAGTCAACTGTCAAGTATCAGAGAAATAATTTTTTTGCTAAAAGGAAAGCGCTTAACTTGACGCACGACTTAGTCCAATTACACGGAATAATGTCGGAAGTGATCGGACAAAAGTTGATCGGAGAAGAGTTGGTTCCATTGTCGACGTTTCTTCCCCAGACTTCTTTGCGATCTTGAGTGGCCGCGGGTAAATAACGCCTGGAAGGATATGTACGGGAAACACGAGAAACTCATTATCTGACGGGAGTTTGCGCTTTCTATCTGAAAGACAGTGCTCACTGGGTGTTGGAAAGGAAATTCTTGGCAACAGATGCCTTGTTTGATGATAACTGCTTATTTGATGTCCAATGTTTTCCATTTCTACGATTTCGACTTCATTGCGGTAGCGAAACAAAGACAATTTACTACGGAGGTTCATTGAAAGCCGGTATTGTGTTCATGTTAAGTTCTAATGAGACATTAATACCCCTGTTTTCTTTGTGAGGATTCGCGGGATTTCTCGGTTTGTTTAAATGTCAAAAACAACTTGGAAGTATGTCTTTCTTTTGGTATCGCTATGGCTGCTTATCCTTGGCTACATGGGTTATCAGCTTTTGTCCGTTGTCGACGATGCAAACCGAAGCGCTGTCGCACTTCTGCAAAAGGAAAGACAAATCGAACTGCTACAGACTCAGAATGGGGGACTAAAAAAGAAGTTAGCGGAATTTCAAGCAGACAAGAATAAACTCGAAATGGAAGTAGCCGAACTTAGACAGAAGAACTCAGATCTTCAACGCAAACTAACAGCTCAGAAATCCTCGATTGTTACTCCTATGAAACCGCATGAGCTCAAAGATAAGCGTGATCAAGATTCGGAAGTAGCGATCACTTCATCGGTAAAATTTACGCCGCCTAGTCTGGAATTTTTAACGATAAGACGGAGGGCAGAGAAGGAACTGAAAGAAATGTGGTATTTTATAAGTGCTGAGGTGAGCAGAATTAAGATGTCTGCCAGCGAAAGCGTGAAATCGAAGCTGACAAAGATGATGTGGACTGTTGAAGACATGCATCATGTTTTGTCTTTAAACTTTGAAAACTTAAAATCTATGGATGGACAAAGAGAATGGGTTGAAAAGGAACATAAAGAACTTAGCGATCTTGTCCAAAGAAGACTGTATCATTTGCAGAATCCAACCGATTGCGATTCGACGAAGAAGCTGATGTGTCAGCTTAACAAAGGATGTGGTTACGGTTGCCAAGTTCACCATCTAATGTACTGTTTCATTGTTGCTTATGGCCTTCAAAGGACTCTTATAATCGACTCTAGCGGTTGGAGGTATTCGCCTAAAGGCTGGAATGGAATTTTTAAACCCGTTAGTGAAACCTGTACAAATCATCAGGGGAATATAGCGGCATGGAGCGAATCCGCGTCGAAAAGCGAACAAAATATTTTGATGCCAATTGTCGATAGTTTATACCCCAGGCCTCCCTACATGCCGTTGGCTGTGCCTAAAGATTTGGCCAACAGAATACAGAAAATTCACAGCCATCCGTTCGTGTGGTGGATAGGGCAGTTTGCTAAATATTTATTTCGCTATTCACCTGCTGTGCAAGAAGAGATCGACCAAAAAAGAACTTTGCTTGGCTTCAAGAAACCAATTGTCGGGTAAGATTTATTTAGCCTGTGTTGACTTAAAGACAAAAGCAACCGGATGGTATTTGAATAGCTGTTAGGTAAAATAGTCTTGTAAATTGTTTCCTGTAAATGATTATTCAACCATCAATATTAAGTCATTTTATATTTATCATTTCTTATTTCTTTTAGCCCAATTAAAAATTTAAATCATCCTGAAAGCCCCAGCACTCAAACTCCAAAGATTTTATCAGTGATTCTCCATTCTAGTTGCAACAGAAAGCCATGTTAATTAGTTAAGAGATTTTGTTGACATTTTTGCTTAATCTTGTCACCTCTTTGATAAATAATCTATTGATACTGTAAGAAATTATAAGTAATTATCTGTATTTCTCTCTTGTTGTAATGTCATGGTTTAAATTTCTATTTGTTTGTCTGTTTGTTTTTAATTTTCAACAAGCTTTCCTTCTTCCCAGATCTGTTACAATATTCTAAGATAAAAACAAACAAAAAAAAAATGAATGAATGAGTTCCAAGGAACAATTTTAATCACAACTTCTACATCTTACAAACTTGTGATCTCATACTGACCAGTAGATGTTTTATGTTTGAGATACAACTAGATATTTTGCAAATATGTATCATCATAAATTTAAAACCTTTCTAGCGACCCTAACTGGTCAAGAGGGGTGCTATCTGCTGCTCAAAGTAGGAAGCTTTGAGTGGGGATTTTTTTTAAAAAATTTATCTCTTTTCTTTTTTTCAGGGTTCAAGTTCGTAGAACTGATAAAATTAACACAGAAGCAGCTTTTCACTCCATTGAAGAATACATGTATTGGGTAGACTTGTTCTATAACAAGCTAGAAAGAGTTCAACCTGTGAAACAAAGACGTGTCTATCTTGCAACAGATGATGCTAATTTATTGCCTGAAGCAAAAGAAAAGTAAGTCAGAATTTCATGGTTTTTACTTACATGTCACCTTAGTTTCTTAGAATAATGAACTCGGAACAACTGGTTAATGTGTGAACCTTTTTGAATGCATTTTTGTACAGCTTGAGCTCTGACAGTTTTCAGATAAGTAAATATTGTGTTGGCTCTTCAAAAAATTTTGAGAAATTATGTTTGGATTTTTTTAAATGTATTTTATATCATTATATATGTAAACAGTGGATCACATTGAAAGCATTCAAATTGGATACTCAAACACAGAATATCCTTTGCTATTCTGAGAAATGCACATGGGATTTGTACCTGAAAAATATTGCAATTCTTACAGGAATTAATTAGTTAAAATCCTTTTTTCTACTTTGTTATTTCACCGTTTTGGTTTATACTCAAAGAACTATCCACTTCGGCTTGGTAAATATCCACTGCTAGTCACCTCCACTTTGTTGAATAGTTGTTAACCCTTTAACTCCCAGATCTAATTTGTAATTCTCCTCACCATCAACCTTACAATTCTTACAGTTTTAGTTCAGAGAATTTAGTATTGGATCAACTAATTATCCCCAAATTGATATTTTTCTTTATTCTCATCACTTGTCTGGTTGATATTATATTGATATTGTTAGGAGAAATTCTGTCTTGGTCACTCATGGGTGTTAAAGGGTTAAGTACACTATTTTTCTTGCATCTAATGAATGTCTTTTGAGAAGAAATAGAATGAAGATTATGTTACTCTATGTCTTCTTGGCTCTGAGCAAAATACACTCATGATTTATAATTCCATGCTTTGGCAATCATGTTGCATTTTAGAAAAATTAGTTGATATTGAGATGAATAGCCCTTTTTTTTAATTTGATGCCTCCTTTTCAGGTACAAGAACTACGAATTTGTTAGTGATCAGGAAATTTCCAAATCTGCTGGCCTTGGATCACGTTACTCCGACTCTTCTCTACATGGAGTTCTGTTTGATATTCAAATGTTATCAGAGTGTGATTTCTTGGTTTGCACCTTTTCTTCACAGGTAAAGTACGACAGTTATTGACTTTTTTTTGCTTTTTGCCTTAAGGCAAAAGGTACATCCTTGAGGCAGGAGCACAGCCCTGTTAAGGGAAAATGGTATATCAGTTAAAGGAGACTAAATGAATTGAGTCCCAAAAACAGAGTATATTTTTCAGTTGAAAAAAAAATACCAGATGAGAAGGTATAAAACCAGACTCAACCAGGATTAATAACGATTGAGAAAGATAAACCTGATAGCAAATGAGGCACTAAAGAATGGAGTAAGTCTGGAATAAATCCTTAACCTGCTGTGAGTTTAACTGCTTTGAAATTCAGTTTGTTAACCCTTTACACCCTAACATCAGTATGCATATTCTCCATACTGTTCTCTATACATTTTTTAAGATACTGACAAGGAGAAAATGTTTAACAATCAAGAGCTTTTTTAGATGGTGATCATTTCCCTTATTCTCCTGACCTTAATGTGTGATTCAGGGGTGATATTGTGATGAGAAATTAGATGCTAGTCACTCTCAGGGGTTAAAGGGGAGAGGGCAAAGGCTGAAAACATCTTTTTTTATTTTCTACCAGGTTTGCCGTGTGGCCTATGAACTGATGCAATCATCTCAACCTGATGCTGCTAAAAAATTCCAATCCTTGGATGACATTTACTACTTTGGTGGTCAATCTGGTCATGATGTGAAAGCCATCTATCCCCATCGTGGGCAAGATTCTACTCAGATAGACTTAGCTGTGGGAGATCGTGTTGGAATTGCTGGCAATCATTGGGATGGATATTCCAAGGGTGTCAATCATAAGACTCGTCAAGATGGTCTTTTCCCATCCTACAAAGTGGAAGATGTCATGGAAATTTTTGATTTCCCAACCTATGACGGAGTATAGCTGAACCTATCTTCATATCAAACACTTTATAAAATGAATCAATAATCTGGTAGAAATTATGATTTTTAGTTTTTTAACGTCAAGTCATAAATTAATATATGGATTAAACATAGAAGTCATGTAGAGAAAGAAATGAATTATGTACCAATAGCTAGGCTAATACAATCACAGTTAACAATTGAAACCACCTTGCTTAACTTTTTAATTTTCAAACGTTAACCTTACAATCCTGAATTCCAAGAAGATGATAAAATATCTGGACCATTAAAATACATTTATCATGATAACATTGTGATTACCTGATTAGTCTTTCATTGAAATAATTGAGAATAATTTCTTATGTGTAGATATGTAACAAAACTAGTCAATTGATGTCATTCAAATCTGTAACAAAAGCTAGCTTCATATTTTAGTGGCGATTGTTAATGACTTGAATCTATCCATAGATGTGCAGAAAAGGAAGTTTCTCTATAGGCAACATTGAAAATAACGCATTGAAAATATCATACAGCAATTAATCCTTTTTACTCCAGCATTAGTGCTGACCTTCTCTGTTCTCCTCTCTATAAACTTCTCTTGGTTATGAAAAGGAGAATTCACTAAAAAATTAAAGCTTCTTAGGTTGGGGATCATTTCCTTTATTCTCATGATATAAATGAATTATTCAATGGTATTACTCTAGGGAGAAATTTAAGGATGGTCATTCTTACAAGTTAGAGGGTCAGTGTTTTATGCATCAGCTGTGCCTTCATCAAGATATGAAATACTCACAAAGTTTGATGCATGCTGATGCATGAATCAATTGTGTAGTTAAATGTACTTTCCATTGTTCAGTCATTTTTTCTAGAAACAAACTAGCAATTGTTTGTTTGTGTTTCTTTTCAGCCATAGTTGAGTCATATGACACTTCCCCAACCTTGCAGGCTGATTGGCCTTCAATTGAATGCAACTCTAATTGTAAAATGCATCTCCTCCTCTTCCATATACTTCATCTTTCTCCTCCCACTTGTCTTCCTACCAGTTTTGCTTGGCCTATTTTCACTAAAAATTAATGGTTCAGAGTGTCAGTAATGTTGAAAATGAGTATGTTAGGCCATGGTGCATTTTAAAGCTAAGTTCGGGATATGGAGGTGTAGCTTACTGGCCTCAAAGGGGGCTATTAAATTTGGATATATCAGCATCAAGGTGTTCTATGCAATTAGCCTCAGAAAGTTGGCCCTAAATGTCTTGATACTGACTTAAGTATGTGGACTCTTCCCTTTCTCATAGTTGCGGTTGAAAATAATTGACAAATTCTATTTACATTAGACTGTTGAATTTTGCCCAAACATTGTAAGAGTGGATTTTGGAGCCCCTGGGGCGATAGCCAGTGTCAGGACAGAGATGCTTAACCCGCCTCCTCTCCCTCCCGGCCACGCTCTTTTTTCTCTTTCCATACCCCATTCACCCGCAAGACAGGCTTGCGTGTCTGAACCTCAGACGTGACGTCACTTGATCAAAAAAATGGCGCTGAAAGCTATGATCGTCCAGCTGCTTGTTGCTCTTGTGACAGTAAACTTTGCGATGTCGACCAGAATTGCAGGTTTTAGCCCAACAAATTCGGGGTCCCACTATTTCACCATAAAGAAAGTTATGGAGGAATTGTCCGCGCGCGGACACGAGGTAAGGTCAAAGAGCAGCCTGCAGGTTACAGGAGTACTGATCGACATAGCCATCGTTGACTGCTAGTAAATAGCTACAGAGGCATGTAAACTCTACGTGCTGTGGTGGTCCTGCATGTAGGAGTTCATAGTATATTCTTTCCGAATTTGGATGGTCCTGCTGTAGGGTCATAATTAGAATTGCGATCGTGCAAACCGGAATTGTTTGCTTGAGAATTTAGACTGTTACAGCTCGCGAGACTGACAAATTCATTAATTTTTTTATTTTTTTTACAAATTTCAAATTTTTATTATCTTATTTCAAATACAAGTTACAGACTGACAATCAAAATTACTACACAGTAACAAGGAGGTTTGGCAACAACACGAATGAATCTGCGGAAAATTGCACATCCGACAAGTTTATTCATGACCTATTAACTCAATCGGCTTCAATAGTTATCCAATTTATCTAGTATTATGCGGTTTTTTTCAGCCTGAGAAAAAAAATACGTTTTCTCGGTTATAAAATTTTATTTTACGCCTCGGTGGACGTTAAGTGGAAATCAAGAAACTCTGCTGGGAATATTGGTTTTTGACTGGATGATTAGCAGAAATAAATAACAAACGAGTGCCTTTTTAAATGCTGCCACATTTTCGGTGCGTTATGCGTTACGTGCCTTGTTTTCACGTTTTCCAGAACTTTGATTGAACTTTGAAAGTCCCTTGGAAAGTTTGATCTAGGGGCAAACTCATTTTTTCTTCAAAGGAGTTGACTACTATGATTTATCTGCAGATCTTTATTCACCTCCTTGTTTGGAGGCAAGGCTGTACACCAGGGTGTGTATTTGTGTTAAACCAGTATTTTTTTTCATTACTTTTTTTTAATCTCTCATGCCTTTTCTTCAATACAGGTTGTGCTGGTTAAGCCTGCCAATCAAAACGATCCACCAACAATTGGACAGACAATACCACATAAGATATTCCACGTGCCATTTAACCAGTCTTATTTTGAGGTATTTTTTATTAAAACTCTCATGGAACATGGCATATGGAAGGCTCTAATCAGATTTACAGAGATGCAAAGTGTCATTTGTGAACACTTGTTAAATAACACTGAACTGATTCAACATCTGAGGCAGTTTGACGTGATAGTGTTTGAAAGACTTTTTTTGTGTGCTTCAATGGTGGCAGATCTTCTAAAAATTCCTGCAGTGGTTTTAATACCTTCTCCAAATGCTCCAGCAGGTTGTTCACTTTTCAAGGTTCCTTGTCCATTGTCGTATGTGCCTTCGCGTCTCGCTGCATTTACAAGTGACATGTCATTTATACAGCGTGTCATGAACTCTGTAGGTCAGATCAGTTTTGAGTTTGCTGTGCGCCTTGTGAAATCTCCAAGTGAGCGTCACCTCAAGGAAAAATATAACATTGCACCTGAGAAAGAACTTGAAGAGGTCCTCGGGAATGCTGAGTTAGTGCTCATTCTTGGAGACTTTGCACTTGAATATCCACAGCCACTTCTGCCAGGTTTGCTACCCATCCTAAATGGGATACTGCTCCATTGCTGGGCTGCCCCTTTTCAGACTTGAGTCAGACATTGTAGGTCCAGTCTCTTGAAATAATACTCTCCTGAAAGGGTTGAATGGCTGTCATTTTGCTGAAGTGTGATTTATATGATTCCTCTCATAGCATCATTAACACATGTGCATCAGGAGATTACAAAATTGAACACTGGTAACCTCAATGACTTATGATATCGAGATCTTTGATTGCCTTGTCATGGAAGCTAGCATTAATAGCAACTTCTCAGCTGTGGTTGGAAATTTAAAATAGACTTTGGAAAAAAGGTATCATGGGTCATGGGTATAAGTTCTCTCAGTTTATAATCTCTTGAAGTGAATTTAAGATGCACTTTCCTTCTGTGTTAAATGCCTACTAGACAAATCAGTTCCTGGGGTATTTGTAGATACCTGATCACATTCTGTTTGTATTTATCTTCTTGTTTTGTTTTGTTTTGTTTTGTTTTTTTTTATTTTAAGGTCAGGTCATGGTGGGTCCAATCACTGCTAAAGCAGAAGCTGACCCACTTCCCCTTGACTTGGCAAACATTATCAACAGTTCAAGGGGGCACGGGTTCATTATTGCTTCTTTTGGATCATATGCAGAAACAATTATTTCTAACAGGACCTTCGATGTTATGGCTGCAGCTTTTGGAAAGTTAAAGCAGAAAGTTATATGGAAACTTAAAGGTATTTTTTTAGTATTAATTGTTAATCACCAGTTATTGTCAAGGTCATCATTGTCATCATTATTGTTATAATCAATGTAACCATAATTATTGATATAATGGCCAATTTACGTTTTCAACCCAGTTGTTAACACTAAATTACCTAACATTATAAGAATTGTATGGTTGACAGTAAGGAGAATTACAATTTTGAAACTTTGAATTCTTTGTTACTCAGGAAAATCCTTTTTATCAACTTTTTCAGGTTACATTCCTTCACTCCTTGGTCCAAACATCAAAGTAGTGAAGTGGATACCTCAGAATGATCTGTTGGCTCACAAAGATATCAAAGCTTTTGTTTCTCATGTGGGACACAGCAGTCTCTACGAGTCAGCTTACCATGGGGTGCCTGTGGTGGCTGTTCCTCTCTTTGCTGATCAGTTTTTTAACGCTAGGAAGGTAGAGCACTTTGGATTGGGTATGACTGTGGATCACAAAACTGCGACTGCTGAGGAGTTTGCTAAGACAATGGAGGATGTGATGACTGAACCAAGGTAGTGACACGTATTTTAACAAAGTTTTTAGAGAGTCATTTAATTTGACATGTAGTTGCATAGCTGGAAGATATCTAGCAATGTGATTGTTTATCTATGGGGGAAATTGGCGTGAAAATCCATGTTCAAAAGTTACACCGTTCAGCAGCATATGTAACAAAAAAGCCCGCATAAGGATCCTTAAGAAAGTTATTACGACACATGCAATCGCTTAAAGTCACTGTGTGAATTATCATCCACTTTTTTTTTTTTTTTTTTTTTTTTCACTTTTTCCTCCATGAAAGAATCGTAAGTTTTTCAATGTTATTATTCGATCGTGTTTCTTCAGTTTCCAAAAAAATGCTAGGCGCATTTCTCGTCTTATGAGAGACACTCCACGGACCCCCCTAGAGAAAGCTGGTGACTGGATAGAGTATCTACTCAGACATGGTGGAGCCCAACACCTCAGAGCTCAAGTGTTTAACATCCCTTGGTACCAGTACTACTTACTTGACGTCATAGCTTTCCTTGTTGCCCTAGCTGCGTTTGTCGTCATGGTGATCAGATGGACATGTGGATGCATGTTTCGTGTGTGTTTCCGCCCGAGCAGCGAGAAAGCGAAAAACGATTGATCTCTTTTGACCCGAGCTCGTGATGTCACAAGTCATGCATCAATAATTACTTTGATTTTAAGGAATTCATGTAGAGTTAACATTTTATAATATTCATGGAGTTGTCACCATGTAAATTTAAAGCGGTGAACGCACCACGTGCACCGTTTCTACGTGTAACTATAGACAATTACGGACTTCTAGACGTTGCTAGTTCGATGTAGCCAGCGAACAAACCCACATGAGTAATGTTTTGGAAGGAGCGTTTCTTGGCTCGCGGGTAGGTATGAATCGTAGGTTAGCTAGCGAGAGGTCTGATACGGGTCTAGACTCCCGGCAAACCTCTCCTCAACTCGTTTCAAATCTTCCCGCGGGCGGAGAAACGCGCGTTATGCAGCGCTAGTATTAAATGCTTTCTAGCAAAAACGCTTGCGGGCTAAGTTCGATATAAATGAAAGGTTCTGACGGTTGGTCAGAGTCAGCTGAGTAAGGGCCAATTTTCAATCACCGTTTTCAGTGGCGGATTCAAGGGAGGGTGTCGCACGGCTGGACTCCTCTCCTCAGACATGTGGGTTTTTATTGTTAATTGTCTAACAGCAAAATTCTTGCACCAACAAGATCATATGTCACTTCTCACTATGAAGTGTTTAAAATTAACTTTCTTAGTGTTAATACCAGAAAAAGTAAAACGCTCGCCTTTTTAAGCTCAGTGCTCTAGGCGGAGTTTCACCTAAATTTTGCGGAATGTGTGCATGTCGTCTCAGTAAAACCATTTTAGACTGCCATAATTTTTACTTAAAACTTACAGTGTTAACTAGTACATATGCTTAAAGATATTTTAAGGAGATAGTTAGGATCAATTTTTTGTATGAATGAGGCTATTCGTTCTCAATAATTATTGAATCGAGCTTTTCACCTTACTGATTGTAAATTTACTCAGAATAGCTTTCAAGGAGAGTTGATGAACTGCTCTATTGAAAGCAAAGGTCCTAGTTCCAGCCCTGTCCAGGGCCTTCAGTCCATTAGTTCCTAGCGGGGAGATGATAACGTTGTGATTACCTGATCAGTCTTTTATTAAAATAATCCAATTTCGTACGTGTAGATATGTAACGAAACTAGTCAATTGATGTCATTTAAATCTGTAGCAAAAGCTAGCTTCATTTTCACAAGAAACAAACTAGCAATTTTCTGTTACTGTTTCTTTTCAGCCATAGTTGTGTCATGAAGACACTTTCCCAACCCTGCAGGCTGAGTGGCCTTCAATTGAATGCAACTCTAACTGTAAGATGCATCTCCTCCTCTTCCAATATACTTTATCATCCTCCTCACACTTACCTTCCTGCCAGTTTTGCGTGGGATTTTGAGGCCCCTGAGACGGTAGCTAGTGCCACGGCAAAGATGCACTACCCCCCCCCCCCCCCCCCTTTTTGCTCTTTTTCTTCTTTCCACCCCGTACCACTTATCAGGCAGGTTTGCGTGTCCGAACTCAGGTGTGACGTCACCCGATCAACAAAATGGCGCTCAAAGCTATGATCGTTCAGCTAATTGTTGCGCTTGTGTCAGTAAACTTTTCTTTGTCGGCCAGAATTGCAGGTTTTAGCCCAACATATTCGGGATCCCACTACTTCACCATAAAGAAGGTTATGGAGGAATTGTCCGCGCGCGGACACGAGGTAAGGTCTAGAGCAGCCTTGCAGAAGTATCTCTGACCGACATAGCCATCGTTTACGGCGATACAGAGGAAAGTAAAAAATAAAGATGTAGTGCGGCATACTGTATAATCTTTTCCCTTTGGTGGTCCTGCATGTAGGAGTTCATAATTATTTGGAATTTTCGATCGTGCAAAAGGAATCTGTGACGGTCATGCTAGACTTAAGACCGTGCAGACCGCGCTTTGTTCCATGGAGAATTTCGACTGTTACAGCTCGCGAGACACTGACAAATTCGTAATTTTTTTTTGACAAATTTTTTTGTACAAATTTTTGCTGTCATATTTCAAATACAAATTACAGACATAATTAAAATTACTACACAGTAACAAGGAGGTTTGGCCAACAACGTGAATGAATTTGTTGCACATCCGACAAATTCCTTCATGACCTACTAACCCAGTCGACTTAGATAGTTATCCAATTTCACTAGTATTATGCGGTTTTTTCAGCCTGAGGAAAAAAATACGTTTTCTGGCTTATAAAATTATATTTTACGCCTCGGTGGACGTCAAGTGGAAGTCAAGAAACTTTGCTGGGAACTGGTTTTTGATTGGATGATAAGGAGAAATGAACAACAAACGAGTGGCTTTTTAAATGCCGCTACATTTTTGGTGCGTGGTGCGTTGCGTGCTTTGTTTTTCACGTTTCCCAGAATTTTGATTCAACCAGAGTACTGGATCTTTTCGTTCTATATTTTTCAATTTCTGGTAAAATGAAAAAAAAATACTGATGAAACCTTGAGTCCTGTCTGTTGGTAACTTGGAAATTGTCCTTTTAATTTTAATTTCACACACATTGTGCATGCATTGCGATAGAATCAGAGATTAAGTTGGAGACTACTGACATGGCCAAATTTCTCCACGAAGCTCTCCATCAGTTTCTACTCCGGTTCAAAAACCTTATTTTCTAGTAAAGTTAGATTTTATGGTTCAGCACTTTCTTCTCTGCAAAGTTCTTTAGGCTGTCTTGTGAAGATCTTGGTAATCATTTGCTTCATCTACATAGCACATTCCTTACCCCTAAATCAGTGTCACTGTCCACACAAATTACATTTGCAACACATCTTTCAGAGTAGGGCTAATCTCCATGAGCTCGAGAAACTTGAGCCTGCAATTTTATTTTGTTGGATAATGTGAGCTCGAAAATAACCTTATAAAATTTTGTCATGTGTTGTTCAAAAATTGGAAACAGTTCCAATGTTACCAAAAGAGTAAGAAAAAGACGTATACACCTTTATCATATGTACATCACAGTTTAAAAGAAAAAGCAAACAAAAAAATTGCACAGTCTGTGCACTGTACACAGTCTGCAGTCTGCAGTCTGTTTTATCATGGCCACCCATTTTCAAGTGCAATCTGTATACAATACTTACATCCTATATCATGGTCAGATTATCAGCAGGCACAGCTCTTTTCATAGAAATATGTGAAAAGTTAGCTTAGCCAGGGTAACTCAGGTAAGGGTTGTCTCAGTATCCATAACCATAAAGAAAGTCCCTAGGAGAGTTTGATCTAGGGGCAAACTCATTTTTTCGTCAAAGGAATTGACTACCATAATTTATCTGCAGATCCATATTCACCTCTTTGTTTTAAGGCAAGGCTGTACACCAGGGTGTGTATTTGTGTCAAACCAGTATTTGTTCATTACTTTTTTTCCTGCTCTCATGCCTTTTCTTCAATACAGGTTGTGCTGATTAAGCCTGCCAATCAAAACGATCCACCAACAATTGGGCAGACGATACCTCATAAGATATTCCACATACCATATAACCAGTCTTATTTTGAGGTATTTTTTGTTAAAAGTCATATGGAAGACGGCTTATGGAAGGCTCTAATCAGATTTACAGAGATGCAAAGTGTCATTTGCGAACACTTGTTAAATAACACTGAACTGATTCAACATCTGAGGCAGTTTGACATGATAGTGTTTGAAAGACTTTTTTTGTGTGCTTCAATAGTGGCAGATCTTCTAAAAATTCCTGCAGTGGTTTTAATACCCTCTCCAAATGCTCCAGCAGGTTGTTCACTTTTCAAGGTTCCTTGTCCATTGTCATATGTGCCTTCACGTCTTGCTGCATTTACAAGTGACATGTCATTTATACAGCGTGTCATGAACTCTGTAGGTCAGATCAGTTTTGAGTTTGCTGTAAGACTTTTGAAATCTCCAAGTGAGCGTCGCCTTAAGGAAAAATATAACATTGCACCTGAGAAAGAACTTGAAGAGGTCCTCGGGAATGCTGAGTTAGTGCTCATTCTTGGAGACTTTTCACTTGAATATCCACAGCCACTTCTGCCAGGTTTGCTACCCATCCTAAATAGGATACCACTCCATGGCTGGGCTGCCTCTGCACCCCCCCTACCCTGCCCACCTCCCACCTCCCCCCTCCCCAGATGTTAAGTGTTTGACAGGTTTTACTGACGGGTCATTGGTACCCATTTATACTCTTGGGTGGAGAGAGTTAAGTGTCCTTTGTACAAACACAGAAAAATTACCTAGACAGCCCTCTAACTTAACTGTTAGGTGACTACATCTCCATGAAAAAAAGAGAAAAAAAGAGAAGAAATCAAAATTTCCCATTGAATACCCTGATTGTGACTCTCTGTGTTCTCGATCAAGTCTCTTTTCAGACTTGAGTCAGACATTGTAGGTCCAGACTCTTAAAATAATACTCTCCTGAAAGGGTTGAATGGCTGTCAGTTTGCTGAAGGGTGATTTATATGATTCCACTCATAGCATTATTAACACATGTGCATCAGGAGATTACAAACTTGAACACTGGTAACCTCAATGACTTATGATATCGAGATCTTTGATTGCCTTGTCATGGAAGCTAGCATTAATAGCAACTTCTCAGCTGTGGTTGGAAATTTAAAATAGACTTTGAAAAAGAGGTGTCATGGGTCATGGGTATAAGTTCTCTCAGTTTATAATCTCTTGAAGTGAATTTAAGGTGCACTTTCCCTCTGCGTAATGCCTACTAGACAAATCAGTTCCTGGGGTATTTATAGATACCTGATCACATTCTGTTTGTATTTATCTTCTTGTTTTGTTTTGTTTTGTTTTTTTCTTTTAAGGTCAGGTCATGGTGGGTCCCATCACTGCTAAAGCAGAACCTGACCCACTTCCCCTTGACTTGGCAAACATTATCAACAGTTCAAGGGGGCACGGGTTCATTATTGCTTCTTTTGGATCGTATGCAGAAACAATTATTTCTAACAGGACCTTCGATGTTATGGCTGCAGCTTTTGGAAAGTTAAAGCAGAAAGTTATTTGGAAACTTAAAGGTATTTTTTTAGTATTAATTGTTAATAACCAGTTATTGTCAAAGTCATCATTGTCATCATTATTGTTATTATCAACGTAACCATAATTATTGGTATAATTTTTAGCGATGCATTTTATTTTAAGTAAGACATAATGTGTCAACTGTCTCCAGTGAAGTTTAAGTCGAAATAGGTAGAATGAATGTAATTAACCCTTTAACTCCCATAAGTGACCAAGACAGAATTTCTCCTTACAATATCAATACAATATCAATCAGATAAGTGATGAGAAAAAAGGAAAACATCAATATGGGGATAATTAGTTGATCCAATACTAAATTCTCTAAACTAACATAAATTCTTCACTCTGACGAAGGGCTAATGTTTGTCAGCTTTTTTACTCTTTACGGAGGCCAATTTACGTTTTCAACCCAGTTGTTAACACTAAATTACCTAACATTAAATGAATTGTATGGTTGACAGTAAGGAGAATTACAATTTTGATATGAGAGTTAAAGGGTGAAGATTTTATTTGCCTTTTATTGGTGAAACTTTGAATTCTTTGTTACTCAGGAAACTCCTTTTTATCAACTTTTTCAGGTTACATTCCTTCACTCCTTGGTCCAAACATCAAAGTAATGAAGTGGATACCTCAGAATGATCTGCTGGCTCACAAAGATATCAAAGCTTTTGTTTCTCATGTGGGACACAGCAGTCTCTACGAGTCAGCTTACCATGGGGTGCCTGTGGTGGCTGTTCCTCTCTTTGCTGATCAGTTTTTTAACGCCAGGAAGGTAGAGCACTTTGGATTGGGTATGACTGTGGATCACAAAACTGCGACTGCTGAGGAGTTTGCTAAGACAATGGAGGATGTGATGACTGAACCAAGGTAGTGACACGTATTTTAACAAAGTTTTTAGAGAGTCATTTAATTTGACATGTAGTTGCATAGCTGGAAGATATCTAGCAATGTGATTGGTTATCTATGGGGAAAATTGGCGTGAAAATCCATGTTCAAAAGTTACACCGTTCAGCAGCATATGTAACAAAAAAGCCCGCATTAGGATCCTTAGAAAAGTTATTACGACACGTGCAATCGCTCAAAGTCACTGTGTGAACTATCATCCACTTCAAAATATTGCATTCGATAAGATATGATCAAGCAAACAAACCCAACAGCAACTATTGACAATTACATCGGGAGACCATAAACTCGGATGGTCGTTTTTCTTTTTTTTCATTTTTTCCTGCATGAAAGAATCGTAAGTTTTGCAATGTTATTATTCGATCGTGTTTCTTCAGTTTCAAAAAAAATGCTAGGCGCATTTCTCGCCTTATGAAAGACACTCCACGGACCCCCCTGGAGAAAGCTGGTGACTGGATAGAGTATCTACTCAGACATGGTGGAGCCCAACACCTCAGAGCTCAAGTGTTTAACATCCCTTGGTACCAGTACTACTTACTTGACGTCATAGCTTTCCTTGTTGCTCTAGCTGCGTTTTTCGTCATGGTGGTCAGATGGACATGTGGATGCATGTTTCGTGTGTGTTTCCGCCCGAGCAGCGAGAAAGCAAAAAACGATTGATCTCTTTTGACCCGAGCTCATGATGTCACAAGTCATCCATCAATAGTTACTTTGATTTTAAGGAATTCTTGTAGAGTTAACATTTTAAGATATTCATGTCACCAGGTAAATTTAAGCCAGATTTAAAAAGATTCAGCGGTGAACGCACCACGTGCACCGTTTCTACGTGTAACTATAGACAATTACAGACTTGTAGACGTTGCTGGTTCGATGTAGTCAGCGAACAAACCCACATTAGTAGTGCTTCGGAAGGAGCGTTTCTTGGCTCGCGGGCAAGTATGAAACTCTGAGCAAATTTAGCCAGCAAGAGGTCTGAAATGGGTCTAGACTCCCGGCAAACCTCTCCTCAACTCGTTTCAAATCTTCCCGCGGGCGGAGAAACGCGCGTTATGCAGCGCTAGTAATAAATGCTTGCCAGCAAAAACGCTTGCGGGCTAAGTTTGATATAAATGAAAGGTTCTGACGGTTGGTCAGAGTCAGCTGAGTAAGGGCCAATTTGCAATCACTGTTTTCAGTGGCGTATCCAAGGGAGGGTGTCGCACGGCTGGATCTCTCTCCTCAGACCTGTGGGTTTTTATTTTTAATTGTCTAACACCAAAATTCTTGCACCAACAAGATCATATGTCACTTCTCACTATGAAGTGTTTAAAATTAACTTTTCTTAGTGCTAATACCAGAAAAAGTAAAACGCTCACCTTTTTTAAACTCAGTGCTTAAGGTGGGGTTTCACCTGAATTTTGCGGAATGTGTGCACGTCGTCTCAGTATAACCATTTTAGACTGCCATAATTTTTACTTAAAACTTACAGTGTTAACTAGTACATATGCTTATAGATATTTTAAGGAGATAGTTAGATCCAATTTTTTGTATGAATTAGGCTATTCGTTCTCAATAATTACTGAATCAAGCTTTTCACCTTACTGATTGTAAATTAACTCAGAATAGCTTTCAAGGAGAGTTACTAAACTGCTCTATTGAAAGCAAAAGTTCCTAGTTCCAGCCCTGTCCAGGCCCTTCAGTCCATTAGTTCCTAGCGGGGAGCTCACCCAATCATGAATTATTCACAGACGGCCGTCCTTACGCGCGTACATTAATATACCAATAAGAATTAACGGGACGGCTTGCGCTGGAAGAAAACATTAAAAAACTGCGCTCAACTTCGTGCGCGTGCGATTGTGTGAGTATCGATTGAAGAAAAACGCCATTTTACGGCATAATTGTTCACTAATGTAGCTAAATAATGCATTGGCTCTTCTTTGATAAATACCATCGACAAAATGATGATGCAACGTAAAACAGAACAGTATCGCAGATTGCCGTTCGCTGAGTACTTGTATTGTACAGTTGGACCAGTGTAATATTTGTCCTAACAGTCCTAAGAAGAAAGATAATCTGCGATGCGTTAAGGACATTGAACTTTAATTACTAACATTGATTCCGGGAAATAAAACCTGAAATATGTAAACTTTACTTTAAGATTATTCTTGGTTTCATTTGGGTGGTTCCGTTTTATGTGACCACCCGGCATAGCTGAAGACGATACGCAGCAACAGACGGTTGGGACTCAGTCAAGGGTGACCACGACCGCTTAACCCGTTACGCCCTAAGATCATTATTCATCTTCTCCTTACCGTCCTCCATTCAATTTTTAAGGTGTTAACAAGAAGAATTTGTTTACCAATCAAGAGGTTCTTTAGTTGGTGATCATTTCCTTTATTCTCATGACCTTCATGCATGATTCAGAGGTAATACTGTAGGGAGAAATTACATGCTAGTCACTCTTAAGGGTGTAAGGATTAATGTGCGCTGTCGCTTAAGGTGTACGAGGAAACGAGACTTGGTGACAGTCCACCCACGGGGAAACTTAAATTTGCAATCGCGGTGACCGATTTTTATCGTGGGAAACTACCTCGGGGGAATTTTAGCTTTTGGAGCTGGTATCGGCCACGAGAACAACAGGTTTTCTCATGAAAGCTACCCTAAAGTAACAAAATGGGAAACGTGAAATCCTATGCAAGTGAACCAATCAGCGCTTGTCGGTGAGTACGTTGCTGATCACATATGTGGATTTATATGTTATCTCGTGAGACATGTGACGTTAGGCAATATGCTTTTTTCATGTATAACTTGCAATGCCGCGATTTGGAACTCGTATGGGTATATTTCGGTTTTTTGGAATATTCTACAATTTTCTCCCGATTAAAAGATTCATTTTTGTCTTAGAACCAGCCTTCATTCCGACTTAGGGTTGTAAATATTGACTCAGATTGGCCTTTAGCTAGTGTAGTTAAGAAACTACTGTGCTGATCAATGAAAGTATTTGCCTATTCGCCCATCAAAAATTCCTGGTTCCGCACCAGATCAGGGCTTTCAGCCCATTGATTCCTGCGGTAAGCTCACCCATTCATGAATTACATATCGATTTCAAAGGTATGTTAATTAAGACCCACTAGTTCTGAAGAGGAAAGGAAGAAAGGCAGGGCTGTGTAGACTGTTAAAAAATTATTTCAGACACCTTTCCTTCTTACTAGTGAGAGGGGAGTTGTGAGGGGGGAAGATACAGGGAGGCACCGCGCTATCACCACAATTTTATCCCCCCCCCCACCCCAGCCCCTGCGTCCCCTCACCTCTCCAAGTTTTTCCACCCTCCAAGATGGCCGAGGTGAAATCGTTCTTTCTTCTTTTTTCGGTTATAATATCAATGGAATTATCCTTTTCGGCTAGAATCGCAGGTCTTAGCGGAACTTCTTCGGGATCTCATTATTTTACGATCAAAAAGGTCATGGAGGAGTTGTTCTCCCGAGGTCACGAGGTGAGAGTTTCCTTCTTTCACATTAGTTGCGGTCCCAACTGCAGTAAATATATCCTTGAAACCAGCGCGTATCGCTTACTTAAGGTAATTTTTCACTTGGGAGAATGCTCACTACTTCGCAACTGTAAAACTTTGCATTTGAAACGCCGATTCCTCTGAAGGGCGAGCAAAATCTCGGATCTCGTGACTCGCCGTTTTGGCCGGCAACGAAAGAACATGGCGATCACACCTCGTCATAAAATCTTCGCGCCTACTAATTTCTCCTTCAGTGTGCTCACTCTCTTTGTCGGCTTCAGAGCAAAGGGTCCACGGCTCAACTCGTAAAATTAACGTCGATTTCTGATAAGCAGACATAAAACGTATGCCTCAGGGACTTCTTTATCAATGCGACTAGTTGAGGAACAGTGTCATGCTGCTGTGCTAATTAAGACGTGACGATAGTTTTAACACCAAGCCATTATCTTTCGTTTTACCTCATCTCCCTTGCCCCACTAAAGGCTTGAACGCTTGTTTGAGTTTTTGAAACGTCTCCAAAAACTCAAACAAACCCAGACACGCACTGGCAACTACCATCTACCATGCCTATTTGTCGAGGGAGTTACTTTGCAACATTCAACTTTAGTGATTTCTCGATTTTTGTTTGTTTTGTTTTTATTATTATTTTTTTAGCCCTGTTCTTTTTGTCTTTTCTTGAGTGATCACATGAGTAGTTGTTCGGAGCGCCGTAATTTTTTTCAAGTGGAGGTTGAATACTTCACAAAGTTTTTTTAGTTTTCTTATACAGTATAATAATACTTTTTCTTCTTTTCTGATGTAGGTGGTGCTTGTTCGACCAGTGCTTCGTGATGCACCACCAAGTAATGAGCAGAAAATTCCCCAAAGGACATTCCTGACACCATACGACGAAAAAGATACAGAGAATAAAGTGAAAACAGCCATGGAAGGCAAATTGTGGAAGACAATAAATAACTTATATGAAATGCAAAGAGTCAATTGTGAAATCATGCTGAATGACACAGTGCTACTTCAAGAACTGAAAAGCTTTGACTTGATAGTTTATGAGAGTTTTTCCTTCTGTGCTGTTTTGGTCTCTGAGCTTCTTGGCATTCCAAAAGTAATCATATTTTCTGGTCCTCCCAATGGTCCAGGAACTTTTGCCCATAATGTTCCTTTTCCAGTATCATACATTCCAGCACCAATGACTTTATTTACAAGCGAAATGACGTTTTTACAGCGTCTTGTGAACTTTGGAGCATACAACTTCATACAGTCTGCAGAACAAGTTTTAATTGCCAGGTACATGGGTTCTCTGAAAGAGGAATACAACATCACTCCTGGGAAGAGCTACCAAGAAGCTGCTGGCAATGCTGAGCTGGTGCTGTTTCTTGCTGATTTTGCACTGGAGTATCCACAGCCTCTTTTGCCAGGTTTGTCAAATAAATGGAAAAGGCTCTGAGCAACTGAGCACTTACCCCTTGCCTGACCAAACAGCAATCAACTGATAACAAGTTGAGTTAAATGTTGGGTCAGGGGAGGGGTAAGTGTGTGGCTGCTTAAATGCTAGTATTAATATCACTCTCATAATTAAGAGAGCTTAGAGTTGGCAATGGTTTTAAATGTGTCATGTGATTTCATTCATGATATGTGAATTTTACAGAAAGGCAAGTTAAACTGAGATTTGAAACATTGAGTTAAGATTAGGTGATACATGAATTTTTTCTATCCAAAATTCCTGTGCATGACCAGATCTGGATCCTGGGCCTTTGGTACTGAAATCCAGCAGATGGTTAATTTAGATTTTGAAATTTATCAATCAGGGAATATTGTCTAGATCTAATGGTAGGCTAATTATCATTTGTCTGTAGTGTTCTGGCCAAAGGGGAGAGACTGGTGTCAAAAGTGCAGAAGGTGGGGGAGTAGGGTAATGTATAGGTATTGAGGGATCTTCAACCTCACCCCCTCCCCCACATTTCTAAGAATGAACCAGTTAGCACTAACTGTATATCTGTTTGTCTTCTTACAGGTCAAATTATGGTGGGAGCCATTTCTGCAAAAGCAGATCCTGAAACACTCCCCCCTCAATTAAAAGATTTTATTGACAGTGCAGGGGGGCATGGGTTTGTCATTGCCTCTTTTGGGTCATATGCGCAAACAATCATAGCTAAGGAGAAGATCGATGTCTTGGCTGAAGCTTTTGGAAAGGTGAAGCAGAAAGTC